ACTGTGTCCACACCATAAAGATGTTGGGTTCTGTGGAGTACCTCGCCTCTCCAGAGTTGTTGCATAGTGTGCTACTTAAATTAACTCCACTGATACGTGAGAAATGGGTTGATTATGCATTCATAAATGCCGATACCGGGTTCCAATATAAATTAGAATTGCTTTCCGCCTTTCTCACACATCAGTCTCGAGTTCATTTGAGGTTTGGCATTGTCGATGACATTTCGCGCCCTAAGCCCATAGAAAAGGCTCGCACGCATGTCACGACTAATGTCAGCTCAGACGAAAGTCCGAGTGACATATGTTATGCCACCGCCTCAAACTCCATAGCTCGTAAGTTGTCAAAAGGCAAAGTTACTCCATCTACGGCCGCAGTTAATAACAATAGGCCCTCAAATTCTCCCTCTATTGCTTATTGTTTATACTGTAAAAAGAATGGTCATGAAGTCTTAAATTGTGATTTATTTAAAAATATTTCTGTTAATGAAAGATGGGATTGGGTTAAAAATAATAAAGTTTGTCAAAGATGTCTCAAGCGGGGCAAACATTATTATAGGACTTGCAAAGGTAACTGTAGGGTAATAAATTGCAAAGGTGGATATTACCATCATGAGTTACTTCACAAACAGTTAACAAATTCTGTTCATTACAGTTCAACAACAACTGGCGAACGTGAAGTAAGTTCGGAGAGTGAAGTCGCACCAGTAATTGTGGCCCACGCTCACGGCAGCAGTGCGATACCATGCGAGACGCCCTCCTTCGCGCTCACTTCTTAAAGTGCTGCCGGTAACTGTAACTGGACCAAAGGGTGAGATGGATATTTACGCTTTATTGGACGACGGGTCTACGGTTACTCTGATTGACCAAATAGTAGCTGACACAATCGGTGCACAAGGGCCGAAAGGCACTATTCAAGTTAATTGTGTGGGCGGCTTGGCGAAAGATTCTGTAGTAACCTACATTGATATTAACATCAAAGGCAAGCACTCTGTCGAAACCTTTAATTTAAAACGAGTTCGCTCAATACCTAATTTGGGTGTAGCATGCCAAACAATTCGTACTGTAGATGTTGCAAAGTTCTCTCATCTTCAGGATTTGGTAAAAGAACTGTCTTACGAGGAAGCCAAGCCTCTCTTAATAATTGGTATTGACAATTGGCATTTGTCATTACCGCATGGCATCCGACGCGGTTCTCGTAACCAACCTGTGGCTGTCCAAACCGTTCTAGGATGGACAATGTTCGGTAGGCTTCCGGGTAAATCCGCGGAGTTTATCCATCATAGCTCGGTTTCCGATTTAGAATCTTTAATAAAAGAACATTATCATCTCGATTCGATTGGCATTACAAAAAAGGACTTCCACAGCATAAACGATGAGCGAGCTTTGGCTATTTTAAATGAAACCACCCAACGTCTTCCGTCAGGTAGGTTTGAGACTGGTTTGCTCTGGCGACCTGATATCATCTCAATTCCAAACAGTTATAAATTAGCTTTATCCAGATTTCATAGTTTAGAAAGAAAGTTTAAAAAGGATCAAAATTATGCCGAAGCTTATAAACAGTATATAAATGGGATGATAGAGAAAGATTACGCAGAGCTTTGTACTAATGTACCTCCTTTAGGTAATTTATGGTATTTGCCTCATTTTGGAGTATATCACCCCCAAAAGAAAAAGCTGAGGCTCGTTCATGATGCCGCAGCTAAATGTTCAGGAGTTAGCCTAAATTCTCTGCTACTCCCTGGTCCTGACCTCTTACAACCCTTATTAGGAATTCTCATGCGTTTTAGGGAAGGTGAGGTAGCCCTCAACGGAGACATTCGTGAAATGTTCCCGCAAACAAAAATTAGGGCACAAGATAGAGATGCACAACGTTTTCTCTGGCGAGACGATCCTTCTCTACCTATAGCAGAATATAGAATGTCTTCCATGATCTTCGGCGCCACCTCCAGTCCGTGCACCGCCATTTTTCTAAAAATAAAAATGCTTTAGAGCACCAGACTAAGTTTCCCGAAGCAGCAGAGGCTATTGTTAGAGACCATTACATGGACGACTACCTTGGAAGTGTAGACAGCCCAGAACTCGCCGCTCGATTAGTTGCAGATATCGTTACCGTGCATAAAGCAGCCTGTTTAGAGATGTGCTCATGGGTATCCAACAACCCCAAAGCGCTTACAACAATAAGTCCTGACTTGTGGGCTGCCGACACATCCGAGGTAGGTCTCGGACCGACATCTCCTTCGCAAGTTAGAATTTTAGGGGTGGCCTGGAACATCAAGGAAGATACTCTTAATTTTAGAAAGTCCACAGAACTGCCTACCAGTGTGACAAAAAGAGTAGTCTTGTCCCATCTCATGAAGGTTTACGATCCTCTTGGATTTTTGATGCCACTAACCATCGCCGGTCGCATCTTATTTCAGGAAACATGGAGAATGGGTATTGACTGGGACGAGGAGTTGCCCGCCTCTGCTAAGGCAAAGTGGCAGACTTGGTTCGCCGGTATAGCAGAAGTCTCGGCCAAAATTAAAATACCACGCTGTTACCGAACCAGATTTGCTGCGGAATGCCAGCTCCACGTCCTAGCCGACTCAAGTGAATCCGCTTACGCTTGTGTGGCGTTTTGGCGTTTTGTCCACCAGGACCAATCTGTTCATTTGGCTCTTATAGGTGGAAAAGCGCGCCTAGCCCCTTTAAAGCCTGTGTCTATCCCACGGCTCGAGTTACAGGCGGCTCTCATGGCTTCTCGATTCGCAACTTACATCCTGGAGGCACACCGTCTTGTTGCTTCTAGAGTTTTCTTTTGGACGGATTCCCTAACGGTTTTAAAGTGGTTGCGTAGCGATGCCCGCACGTTTAAGCCGTTTGTTGCTCACCGTGTAGGAGAAATATTAGAGACTACAAACGTTGCCAATTGGCGTTATGTTCCATCGGCCTTAAATGTAGCAGATGATGCTACACGCGGTCTATACTCTCTTTCCTCTTCCTCTCGATGGTATACTGGTCCAGATTTTCTTTTGTCTCCACCAGACGAATGGCCTCGCGAGCCTGCGGTCATTGCTCCACTAGTAATTGAGGAACTAAAACCCGAACACGCGTTAACATTTTTGCTAACCGAACATCCGGAAATGCCATCTCCGATCGTAGCGAATCACGATCATTTCGGTCGTTGGGTTCGGTTGGTTAGAGCAACCGCTCGTGCACATCATTGTGCTAAAATATTTCGGTCGCTTTTGAAAAAACCTCCAAATTCAAAATTAAAGAGTGCTGCCTCCAAGGTCTCCTTCAAAGTTTTGAAACCTCTTTCGGCCGCAGAAATCTTGGAGGCCGAGAGGCACCTATTTTTATATACTCAATTGGAATCATTTAAACACGAATTCTTGAGTCTTACCGCGGGTCTTCCCCCAACTAATCAAGGGAGGCTTAGAGGTCTTGTGTTGATGTTGGGAGAAGACGGTTTAATCCGTTTAAATGGAAGAATTCGTGCTGTATTAGATGCTCCCGCGCAGGACATTAACCCTATTGTTTTAGACGGTCGACATCCAATTATAAAACTCCTTCTCGATCACTATCATCGGAAATTTGGTCATGGTAATATCGAGACCGTCGTTAACTTCCTGCGCGGCAAATTTTATATAATAGCTTTACGCCCAAGTGTCAGGTCTGTTGCCAAACAATGCAGTTTCTGTAGGATTAGGAAGCTTCTCCCATCTACGCCTCAATTTGGTGATCTTCCTGAAGATAGGTTATCCCATCATCAGCGCGCGTTTTCCTTCTGCGGTCTTGATTACTTCGGTCCAGTTGAAGTTGCCGTTGGGCGCAGACGAGAAAAACGCTGGGTAGCTCTATTCACATGCCTTACCATCAGAGCCGTTCATTTGGAGATCGTAGGAAGCCTTTCCGCAGATGCTGCTATCATGGCCCTAAGAAGATTTATTGCTCGTAGAGGATGTCCAGCGAGAATCATCTCAGATAACGGCACGGCTTTTGTCGGCGCAGCCAACCAACTCACAGACGTTTTCGACTTCGCGGCCAACCATAAAATAGAGTGGGTCTTCATTTGTCCAGCGGCACCATCAATGGGAGGTGCGTGGGAACGCTTAGTGCGATCAATAAAGTCTGCGCTTTCCGTAACCCTGAAAGAACAAGCTCCAAGAGAGGAAGTATTGAGTACCCTACTTCTGGAAGCGGAAGCAGTAGTCAATTCTCGCCCGCTGACACACGTACCAGTAGAGCCGGAGACACTACAGGCCCTCACACCCTTCCATTTTTTATTGGGCACACCATCAACCGAGTTGGTCCGTCCCCGCACCGATGCAGATCTTTGCCGTCGCTTAGACCACAGGAAGGTACTGCGGTTAGCGGAGCTGTTTTGGGCCAGATGGCTTCATGAATACCTACCCACGTTGATTCCACGAAAGGCCGGATCGACGCAAGCCAAATTCAAAGTGGGAGATCCAGTTCTGGTGGCGGATCCAAATCTTCCGCGAGGAACCTGGCCCAAAGGCCGTATTTCTAAGATATTCACCGGTCCTGACGGAGTGGTCAGGGTGGTGGAGATCCCGGGAAGCATGGGGATCTTGAAAAGACCAGTGCGCAAAGTGTTGCCCTTACTCCTAGAGCAGGGCACCCAAGAAAACTGCGCACAGTCGCCACTATAGATTGGTGCTCTGCACCGGGGCGTGCCATGTTGGCGACAGACCTCTTTTTATAGATATTTCTATTTTTAAACCATATATTTTTATATACAATTTTTGACATATATTTTTTATTATATTGTTTTTCTACATTGTGTCATATACGCTACCACTAAATACATCTATAATTTTGGTAAGTAATTTTATTTATATTACCCTATTTCACTGCCGTTGCCAGCCGTAATAAGTGGCAAACAAACTTACGGCCCAACTGATGGTTAACTGTTGCCGTAGCCTATAGACGCCTGAAACACCAGAATTTGCTGCCATAGTACTATTAAAAAAAAAGTATGACTTTAATAATTTTACCTCGACATGTGTAAACACATAGCCATCAGGATTGACAATAGGGAGTATGATCCAGTCGATATCCTGCAGCAAGTCTTCCTCCGTCACGTCTATAACCAGCCTGTGGATGGCATATAAGGTGGCTGGTAGAGTGATCCATTCTCTGGCGTGGAGAAGAGATTCTATGAACACGACGGGTTTGCTTGAATCCTGCAATATAAAAAATAAAAAATCCATATTTATATATGTACATCATTATCAGCTTCTCCCTTAACTTATTTATCCCTTAACTTATGCTGAGTGTCAGCCATGTTGCCAACCATATTTAGAAATAATATAAGATAATTTATTGTAATTGTTCTAAGTGTGTATGTATGTATGTATATATGTATATGAGTGTGGGTGTAAAGTGTATAATTGTCAAATGTATATGTAAAAATGGTTGACAATAAATGTTTTTCTTTCTTTCTTTCTATTTATATGTATATTTATTCACTAAAATAATTATTTCTTTATTTAATATTAATAATTACTCATGGCAGTTCATGCAGCCTTCTCTAGGCCCAAGCAAAGAAGAGCTTGGAGTATTAGACAATTGATATTATTATATAATAAACTAGCTGTGCCCGTGACTTCGTCCGCGTGGAATTTAAGTTTATTTTTCTAAAATAAAAGTAGCCTAAGTTACTCCTTATTACATCAGCTACCTGCCAAAAAAACCCGTCAAAATCGGTCCAGCCATTTCAGAGATTAGCCGAAACAAACAGATAGACAGACAGACAGACAAAAATTGTAAAAAAAAATATTTTGGTGTATGTACCGCATTTATACTTTCGTATACATGTAGTAAAAAACGGTTATGTCAATATTATAAACAGACACTCAAATTTTATTTATATGTATAGATAATAATAATATATAATTAACAATATATGTACCCCGTAGTCGGATACAAACAGTCTGACCTTGTGATACATTCAAGGTTTTAATTTTACAGTCCTTCGGGATGTGAATATGTAATAAACACACAGACAGACGTAGTTTTGCATTTATAGTATTAGATTTGATAGTTACCATTACGCAAATCGTAGTTTAAACGGATTTAAATACTGATAAATGTGATTAACTATTAATTCATTAATAATGATTGATTAATTAATATTTAATTAATCTACCCTTGTCATTTCGGTGTTTAATCTTGAAAAATGCATATACAAAGGTTAACAGAAGATATATGGCTTCCACAGATATCATAAGATTAAATTTAGACAGACAGAATCAATAATATTATTTAAAAGATCAACACGCAAGTTTCTTGCTCGCTCTTTTTGTGATGAGATACCTTTCCGAATGAGTCAGAGAGAATTCAATGTAAGTTTATTTGAATAAAAGATTTTCTATTCCATTCTATTCTATAGATACATAAAATTTTTATTTACGTTAAACAAAAATAAAAGTCCCTACAAGCAGCACCCGTTCACGAGTATGACGGATGAGCCAGCCATCACTGCGCTCGACCATATTTTAGGGAGCCCAATGACCCGGCCCACCACGCCGCCACAAGTCTGGACATTTTAGTGAGCATGCATCAAAACACTAGACCACGTCAAAGCTACTTACAATTGCCATCTGATAGTTATAGTATTCACATTTTTCATAAGAATGCATGCGGCAATCAATACAAAAAGAAAGCGTAGCGGTTTTTTTTATTTCTAATATAATTAAATGAAGAAAGCAATGAGAAAATTAAATTATAACGTTGGACAAAGAAGAACACTTAATTCGATAAAACTTAGTATTGATTTTACCTGAAAATTGGTTGTTGATACTCTTATATATTTTATAGCTCGACCTTCAACACTATTGCCCGCGTTCACAAGAGTTACAGTTTCAGGATACAATGTCTGCAGTTCTTCAAGGTAAGCGTCGATCTGTGAAATTTAATTGAAGATTTTTTAAATTAGTAAGTGTAGTAAGATAGATAGATAGAATATGATGACCTTGGTGGTCTAGCGGTCTAGCACACCGCTTTACGACCCTTGGTCGCGTGTTCGATTCCTCGCACGGCACAAACATTTGTATATATGAGTATGATTGTTTGTATCGGTCTGGGTATTTTCTATGTATAATATGTATATATTTACAAAAAACAAATATCTATGTATTAGTATCAGTTATCTAGTACCCATAACACAAGCTTTAGCTAGCTTAACTTGGGCCTAGATGGCGCTGTGTGAATTGTCCTGAGATTATTATATTATTATTATTATTAATATACTTTATTTGCAACGTACAGTAAAGAAGAAGCACAAACAATATAACAATGGACATATGTATCGTTACAATAAGGCGGCCTTATTGCTGAAAGCAATCTTTTGAAGGCAACCTTAGGGAAACGGATTGTAACATTGAACAGGTAGGTAAAATGACATGAACAGGAGAAAACTAAAAGGTAACAAATACATAATGATGATAAAGGAACATAATAATAAATATTATATGAATTAAAATTTATGTACACAATAATATTCATATATTAAACTAGATACACTTATATAAACTACATATATATTATAAACTACATACATAATTTTAAAGTTAAATAGAATAAACTAAATATAAATTAAAATGTCATACTAACTGAAATTTAAATATTGAGAAGGAAGTATTTTACTTGTCGTTTAAAAATATGAATGGACTTTGCAGTTCTGATAGATATAGGTAACGAGTTCCATAACTTGATACCAGTTACAGTATAGGAATTGTGATAGAATTCAAGATGACGTGATTTTTTAATTTTATGTATAAACTAACTGTCCCGGCAAACGTTGTTTTGCAATATAAATTATAAACGCTAAAAGAATAGGGGTCGTTGATAGAAGGGTGAAAATTTAGGGTTATATGTATTCTTTAAGAAAATATTTTGTCCTTAACACTTCATCATCGCAGCCCGGAAGACATCCACTGCTGGACATAGGCCTCCCCCAAAGATCTCCACGACGATCGGTCCTGCGCTGCTCGCATCCAATGCCTTCCAGCGATCTTGACCAGATCGTCGGTCCACCTTGCTGGAGGCCTTCCCACGCTGCGTCTTCCGGTCCATGGTCGCCACTCGAGGACTATACTGCCCCAACGGCCATCTGTCCTACGAGCTATGTGCCATTGCCACTTCAGAGTCGCAATTCTTAACACTTAGGGGTATAAAAATTTGTTATAAATCTATTACCTACCTAATGAATATACATATATAACTTCATCAAAATGGGTCAAGCCGTTTCGGAGGAGTATAAACACGAAACCCGTGACATGAGAATTTTATGTATTACACTGCGTCTTCATAAAAGTTTACATCTTATTGATTCTTAATACTTCTTTCTTACCTCTTCATATGTATATATTCTGTCAAACGTTACTCCCCCATTTCTAGTTCTGTTATTACTTCTGCTGGTAGCTTCTGTCAGCAGTCGCTCTTCGAGATCTATCACACTAAAATATGAAATAAAGAGGTAACAAAGTAAATAATATCATACTGTGGAATCAAAAAATAGCTGTGTCCAGGAAACTATATGTCTAACTAAATCAACAAATAATTAGAATTATATTAATACTAGCTACTCGCCCCGGCTTCGCCTTCGTGTACATGTATTAACATATGAACCTTCCTCTTGAATCACTCTATCAATTAAAAAAACCGCTTCAAAATCTGTTGCGTAGTTTCAAAGATTTAACATACGGACGGACAGACAGCGACCGCGACATTCTTTTATACTATATAATGATATGTATATGTAATGAAGAATAAATAATAAAATATGATGTATGTACTGAAATTTATTTTTACTTGTTTGAGATTTTCTTTTATATATTTTTCTACTTGTTTGTGCAAGATTATCTCAGAAAAGACTTTGCCGATTTCAAAACGGTTTTCATTTATGTATTTTATATATTACATCTTGTTTAAGGTTATGTTTTTTTATATTTGTCTGCTCATTTGTGCACGACAATCTCAAAAAGGACTTAGCCGATTTGAAAACAATTTTCACCAATAATAATAATAATAATAATAATAATAATCTTAGGACAATTCACACAGCGCCATCTAGACCCAAGTTAAGCTAGCTAAAGCTTGTGTTATGGGTACTAGATAACTGATACAAATACATAGATAATTTTTTTTTAATTATTATTACATACATATTATATATAGAAAACACCCAGACCGATACAAACAATCATACTCATGAATACAAATGTTTGTGCGTGCGAGGAATCGAACCCGCGACCATCGGTCGTAAAGCGGTGTACTAGACCGCTGGACCACCGAGGTCGTCAATGTATTATACATATTAAATTTTTCGGAAGCTAAATTGTTTTTGACAAGTATTTCAGAGCTGCTCATACTTGTGATCTACTGGTGTGGTGTAGTTTACATACTTGGTGGTAATAACTAGTAAAAGCTGAGAAAATGCTACAATAGTGTAAATAATAATAATAATCTCAGGGCAATTCACACAGCGCCATCTAGACCCAAGTTAAGCTAGCTAAAGCCTTTGTTATGGGTACTAGATAACTGATACAAATACACAGATATATTTTTCAACATATTCAACATAGAAAACACCCAGACCGATACACACAATCATACTCATGAATACAAATATGATTGTCGTGCGGAATCGAACCCGCAACCATCGGATATAAAGCGGAGTGATAAACCGCTTTACCACTGAGGCCGGCAATTAAATTTATTAAAACTCCTTAACTTTCTATTTAAAATGCACAAGTATAGAGTCATTGTAGTAGAGTACTAAAATATGCACGTACTCTTTAATATTTTCGACGATTACTTTGTATTCTATCCCCTCTGCAGAGAGTTTAGTTTCGAAGTGCCCTCGTCTCTCCTTGGATACTAGAACCTGACCCGATCTTCCTGGCACAGCGTGAGTGAAGACGCTCACGTGTAATAATTCTTCTAATTCCGTCACAAGCCGTGTTTGTTCTACATTCTGTACTGTTATCTCATATAGTATATGCCTGCAAGAAATATATAGAAATAGAAATAGAAATAATCTTTATTCAAATAAACTCATTACAAGCACTTTTGAATAGTCATATTTTGATTCTACCACTAATTCGGAATGCAGATTCATCACAAGAAGAATGAGCAAGAAACTTGTGTGTTGCTCTTTTAAATAGTTTTATTTTTATATAAATAATTACTGTAATTATATCAAGTAAGAGGCATGCGTTAATTAACATGGAAATCGCTACGCACTCATTATTAATGTAATCAGATAATATTGTCAGTGCTATGGATTTTAAGTTTTTCTATAAAAACATTATTATCGTTAACGAATTCTTCAATTTTATAGTAAGCTTTTTATTTATTTTTGCAAAGGAAGTATTTTATTTGACATTTAAATCTTTTTTCTGGCAGATTTATAACAGACTCTGGTATTTTATTGTAAAACCTTACGCAATTGCCATAAAACGAATTACTAACTATAGCCAAACGACATTTAGGCGAAATAAGTTTATTGTTGTTATGTAAGTTTTTATTAATGCAATCATTAACTCTTTTGAAACTGTCTATATTCTTCCTGGCATAGATGATATTTTCATAAATATATTGAGGAGTAATGGTGAGGATATATATTACAAACAGACACTCCAATTTTATTTATATGTATAGATTATTAGCCACAGCAATACGTGGTCCGGTCTGCTAGTAGTTTATGTGGATAAGGAAGCAGCTGGCACATCTAGTTAATTTATATTTTTCGTTATTATTGAAATATAGCGTTCACTCAATATACAAATCTCTCTATCTATGAAAATGTCATTCCAGAAGACTAAAATGACATGATCAGGTCTACTAATTTGCAAAAAACAGCAATATTCATAATATTAACAGTATATTTAAAGACAAACTTGCTGTCCCCAAGTATCGTTTAAAAAAAGTCAATAGGTCTTTTATGGAAATAGATATAAAATTTTAGGATGAGATACCAAAGGATATTGGAATTACCCTTAAATAAATTCAAAATCTGTTAAATCATATTTACTGAGCAAGGCCTATTACTAATTAAACGATTACTTGAATGACGAGCGTGCATGGCAATAGTTTTCATGTTCGGGATTTTCATTTAATGTTAGACATAGACACCTATATAAATACCTATGCATTGTAAATAAACTGGATTTAAAAAAAAGTAATTCAATTGAGTTTCTTGCCAGTTCTTCTCAATTGGATCTATATACCGAACTGGACGGTAGGGAGAAAAAAATTATAATGTAAAATTTGACGTTCATAAGCGGCTAAAATGTCTAAATGAATAAATGATTTTTGAATTTGAATTCAATAACGTGACTAGATTGTACTGACCAAGTGACCATGTCATCTTAGTCCACAGTTTAGAAGAAATTAGTCAATTTACTCCCGGTTGAAAACTCATATAACGGTAATGGTTTATATTATGGAGCCTTGTGAATATCAGCTTCAATTCCGTGGCCCAACCACGGGGCAAGAAAGAATCCTCACAAAATTTTCAATTTTATTACCAAAATAGACTGGAAATGAAAGAATGAGCGAGAAACTTGTGTTTTGCTCTTGTAAATAGAGAAGAATGAGCGAGAAACTTGTGTGTTGCTCTTGTAAATAGAGAAGAATGAGCGAGAAACTTGTGTGTTGCTCTTGTAAATAGATCGTTTTAAGCTATTGCATATCTTTTATCGAGGACTTTGAGCGCGGCCACGGAATCAAGACAACACAACAACTTATCTCTGTACAACTCATGGTTGCCTGGTAGAAATCGCCACTAGGTGTTAAGTCCGCCATATGTACTTTTTACCTATGTATGACGTGAATGAACGAATGAATGAAACTCTTTATTGTTCCTCTCACAGAAAATACAATTACATATACAATTATGTACAAAATGATAAAAAAAATATATATAATACAATAAACAAGACAAAGAGGTAACAATGGGCGGCCTTATCGCTAAAAAGCGATCTCCTCCAGGCAACCTTAGGATGGAGAGAAGTGATTAGATTTGCGTCTGGTAGAGGTGTAATGACGGTAACAATATTGGAAGAAAAGTTATAAATATACATATAACATAATACAATACAAAATAATATAATAAACTTACATATACATACATATATATGAATATATATACAATTACACATACATACGACCGTAATACTACTATTATTACTTACGTAAATAGTGGTTTTTGATACCTAATTTGAAGCTCTGCAGTGATTTTAGTCTTCGAACAGATGTGGGCAGTTCGTTCCAAAGACGAACAGCTAGCACACTAAACGATTTGTCGTAGAATGTAGTGCTATGTCTTGGTGTCTTTAACTGGAGACTCTCTGACGACCTAAGATCAACGCTATTCGAGGCTAGAGGAAGGTAAACCGCTCCTTCAAGTAGTGAGGAGTTGAAGGGTTATAAAGAATGTTATGAAGAAGGGTAAGAAGGTGAGTATTCCGACGAAGTGCATTAAAGTTATATAAAAAATAAATAAAAATATATGTATAAGTTTACATAAAAACAAATAGATAACACATTAAGTAACTCCGTTTGAAACAAATTAACTCACCCATCGTAAATTTCATTTTTAGCGTACACCCCGCTACACCATAGTATGATAGCTATAATGTACGTCTGCATTATCAAACGGTCACGCGATCAATACGGCTTTTTTTTAATTAACTGAAACGGTATCTGTATTAGCTGGAATTTATCTATAATTGATATTATTTATCTATTAAAACAATAACGTCACAGTATATATAAATGTATAGTAATAAACTACTGTTGCCTGTCATTACATTTTACAAACATTCTTTGCCTTCGTGGTTAGCTATATCGACTGTATTTAAAAAGGACGTGAGTTGAAATCTTGATAATAATAATAATAATAATCTCAGGACAATTCACACAGCGCCATCTACTCCCAAGTTAAGGTAGCTAAAGCTTGTGTTATGGGTACTAGATAACTGATACAAATACACAGATATTTTTTTTTTTCGTAAATACATACATATTATAAATAGAAAATACCCAGACCGATACAAACAATCATACTCGTGAATACAAATGTTTGTGGCGTGCGAGGAATCGAACCCGCGACCATTGGACATAAAGCGGTGTGCTGGACCGCTATACCACCAAGGTTGTCTTGATGATACAATAATTGTTTTTAAGATATTTCATTTTATATTATTGACTAACTCTCTGCTTATTGAGACACCGATGATGAGCCAAGATTTCGAGATTAATTCGAGAGACAGCGATAGACTCGCCCCGCTGCCTCGTTGAATACCAACAAAATGTACATCAATTGTAATGCACACCATTATGTTGACAATTTGCAATATCTCTGACTATCCCATCTAGAATACAACAATCGTAGTACTGACATATGTTCGTTGCATAAATTATATAATAAAGAACGTCGCTGATTCCAGCGAGAACCTAGAAAGTAGAATTAAGAAGAAGGAAGAAATAAGAAATCAGAAAGAATCTTAAGAAAGAAGAAGGAAGATATAAGAGAAAAGAAAGAATGAAAATTTTGATTTATTGACAACCATTCCAATGTTCATACACATTTATATAAGCAACTAAAAATCTCTACATAGTATTATATAAAATGAAGCCGCTATCGCTGACTGTGCTTTAGATCTTTTAAACTATCCATCGCATTTTTATGTAGTTTCTAGAAATAGATAGAGTGATTCAAGAGGAAGTCTTATATGTGTAATACATTTAGATACGTTAAAAAGTTAGCTAAGAATAAAATACAGATCAATTTGTTAAAAACCCCCCTTTTTCCAGTCGGTTGCAAAGGAAGCTGTACAAATAAATCTTCGTGTTACCATAGCGAAGATTTTCAAGTTATAATACCCGCAAGAGAACAAATATTTGGTTAACTTTTCAAATATTTATCTTACGACCAGGTTCAACAATAATTCACGGAGGGCGCCGATGGAGGTACGCTTTAATTATCTTAAAACTTAAGATGTACAGCATCCACTTCGATACACAATACAGAATTGAAATTCTCAATTTGTCACATACTCTTTTCTTTTATGGTTGGTTGTTCTCGTTTGGTATTATCGAGTACCTCGTAGCCTAGTCGTTTACTACCGGTATAAGACTGAAAGGTCGTAGGTTCAAATTTAGTATGTACAAAAGGGGACCTTAATAAATAACTAAATAATGACCCTGGATAATTAACACAACGCCGCTAAGTCTAGTCCGACGGTAAGCAGAGCTTGTGTTATGGGTACTAGATATACATTTTTTTTGTAAATACATATGAAACACTCAGACCGATACAAACAATCATACTTATGAATACAATGTTGGCACGGCGCGAGGAATCAAACTCGCGACCATCAGAACTAAAGCGGTGTGCTAAACCACCGAGGCCGCTAAATTAAAGACATATTTCACAAGTAAATGACATGAAAGACTGAACGTAAGTTTAATGGAAACTAAACTCAGCATCGCCTCTTTAACGAACATATACAGAAACACTTTGACTTGATGACACTGAACTAACGAGGCGCCTATCTCAGTGCACTCGACGACAGTAATTGTACATTTTTCAACGTAACTGCACATTACCTGCCCTGTTTCCAACTTGTGGAGAGTACGAGCAATCCTCTCAGCTTGCTGATCGGTGCGAGTTCATTATTTTCTATATACCCTCGTTATTTTCGTAACGGATTGTTTATTCCGATTGTTAGTGTTAAAGTAGATATTACTATAAAATAGTATTCTTTGCGTGCAACGCCAATAGATGGCGCTGTAACAAAATTAAAACGCGATAATGTTTCGTTTTATTGAAATCTCATATGTTATTTGTAATATTTATTTCTTCGGATTTCGATTTCGATCCCCCGTCCAATTCAAACGGGGGTCGTAATTACGACGGCCTGAGCCGAGGTTCGAACCCCTAGTGATTACGACGGCCTGACCCGAGGTTCGAACCCCTAGTGGTGCCCTCAGACTAAAGTCGTATCCGTCAGGCAGGAGTTGGTCTGCAGCCGCTCCATAAGTCCTCCCGCGGGTTTGGAGTGCCATCTGCACTCGCCCCCTAACGTCCGGTGAAGCTGTAAAGGCCAGCTGCGGCCAACAGCATTAGAGTAGTCCGAGAAAAAAAAAATTTATTCCCCTATATATATTAACCTTATCTTATTAATATGAAATATTATACACGCGAAAGTTTGTCGGTAGGGATGGATGTTTGTTACTCTTTCACGCAAAAACTACTGAACTGGTTTTGATGACACTTTACAGTAATATAGCTTATACATCAGAATAACATATAGGCTTTAAGTATCATACAGGTGTAACCACGGGCTAGTTATATAATAAATTTGTGTCAGAAAAGAAATGAAAGATTTCCAAATTATCCCGCCCTTCCGTTTATGCGCTGTGGCTCGTTGATTTTCACCATTTACCCGTCAAAGGGTCAACGTGACCCGTAAATTGGTCCTCTATAGAAGATTATTAAATTACGTGATCGTGGGAAAATATAGAGATTGGAAAAGATTAAATTTCTCGGGACGGACGCGCCAACTTGTTTATACAGAAGTGCACAGAAAATTTAATAATGTCATAAAAATACATAGTACAATATATCTTTTAGATATATCATCTTATATATTTATATGGATAGATATGTCAGAAGTATTTAATATGTCGTGTTTCTCTATGTCTTCGTTACATAGTATAAAACAAAGTCGCTGTCGCTGTCTGTCCGTTCTTATGTATGTATAAATCTTTAAAACTACGCAACGGATTTGGAAGCGGTTTTTTTGAATAGGTAGAGTGATTCTAGTGATTCTATTATATATAAAATTAAAGTACACCCGTGCGAAGCCGGGATGAGTAGCTGGTAATTAATATAATTTATTGATATAAAAAAAATATATACTAGGACAATGAAACTGAAACTATGTAATATTATGTTATCTGTACTGAAACTAAAAACCTAAACTCTTATATATAGAATTCTCGTGTCACAATGTTAGTTACCATACTCCTCCGAAACGATTTGACCGATTTTTATAAAAATTATTATATGCACATTGCAGTACGTTTGAGAATTGGCTACTATTTATTTTTCATAGCCCTATAGTGGATAAGGGTTGTCCACCCCTAACATGATTTCTTTATTGTTCGGACTCGGTTGTTTTTTTTTTTTTATAATGTGGAATTAAAAATACATCATCCCCCAAATTTTAACCCATCTACAATCAACACCTATTTTTTAATAGGAATTTTAATTTACATGGCAAAAGAACGTTTGCATTGCATTTGCATGTGTTTATATAAGACAAAAAAAGTATTATATATATTACTAGCTGTCCCCAGATAGTAATATATATAATACTTTTTTTGTCATATATAAATATAGCCAACCAGCTGTCATCGTAGTCCGAGTAACCGAGTAACGAATCTCCATACAAACTTTGAATGTCACGTTTGTTTATTAATATACAAACGAAAAAATAGGTTTCAAGCTTCGAACATTAAAAATTACGATACATCCCTCTCCTTTCAACCCCTTACAACCCTATTTCTTTATTTATATTGAATCAATACCCTATAAATAAGCTGAAAGGAGAGATGAAATGTTGCCATCTCTCTCAACCTCATAAAACCGATTTTTCTCATTAAATCCCATTTTTCAGGGTCTAGACTATATGTGTATCAAATTTCATTTAAATTGGTTCTATAGTTTTGGCGTGAAAGTGTGATTGACAGACAGACACTTACTTTAATGTATTAGTAAGGATTTATTCTGTAGAATATGCCACTCCATAGTTGCAACAATAAATCTTATCTTAATAATATAAACCCGAAAGTTTGTGAGTATGGAAGGATGTTTGTTATTCTTTCACTCACAAAACTACTGAACGGATTTTGATGAAACTTTACAGTAATATAACTTATACATCAGAATGACAAATAGAGTATAAATTTTATGCGGATGAAATCGCGGGCACAGCTAGTGTTGTATATAAAGTTCTCGTGTCTTATAATCGGTAATCATTTACTGTAAGATGAGCCGCAAGCTCGTTTATAAAAAAATTACTAACAAAACTCAATATTTTTCTCTTTAAAGTATTAATATTTAATATATGAAATTTGTATAATTTATTTATTTAATTTCGATCTTTTGATTTTACGGCGGCGTTAGAGAAAGATTGTTGGCGGTGCACCTATATAAATGCCAAAAAATATATTATATTATATAATGCATTATATTTAATGCAAAACATAAATGAATTTCAATAAACATAATACATATTAGAGACGACCTCGGTGGTCTAGTGGTTTAACACACCGCTTTACGTCCGATGGTCGCGGGTTCGATTCCTCGCACGGCACAAACATTTGTATTCATGAGTATGATTGTTTGTGTCGGTCTGGGCGTTTTCTATATATAATATGTATGTATTTACAAAAAAAATATATATCTATGTATTTGTATCAGTTGTCTAGTACCCATAACACAAGCTTTAGCTAGCTTAACTTGGGTCTAGATGGCGCTGTGTGAATTGTCTTGAGATTATTATTATTATTATATATAACTACCTTATATATACAGCTCTCGCTAGTTTGCGAGTCAGGACTGCATCAAACTGTACATT